GTGGCAGATGTGAAGTTAAATTCACCAACTCAAACAAACAGTCAAAGTGTTGTTGTCAATGTCAAAGAAAGAGATGTTGAAGTGGGAAACCATACGAAGACGAAGATGGTATAACAATAGTTCCTGTAAAAGAACAACCAACATACCCTGAAGTTAGCAGAGACTTAAGTTCTGTTGCAGATATTCGAAACGACTACCAACAACTTAAAGACAAACTTAAAACTCAGGAGAAGATTTGTCAAGCTTTAGGTATAATGTTAAACTTGGTCGAACACAACCCTGTAAAAGTGAACTCATATGTCATCGCACCTCATGAAATTTTGAAAGAACTATTGAAACTTTTGACAGAGGCAGACGATATAAACATCAAAGAAATAGAACCCGACATTGCTTGCTGTGGTGTTTCATATAATGTCATTGACAAGATATACGTTATGAAAGGAGGTGAAACGTTGAACTTAAAATATAGTTTCCCAGACGTCATAAAAATATTTGACGACCACAACATTTCATTAAAATTTACTTGCTAAGTAAATGGCAGAAGACATAGTGGTTTATACTATTACGACTAAAAACCCTGAGTCATATAATTCTATAACAACAAACTTACAAAGTCCTCAAGGACGATATTGTAAACTGACCTTAAACACGATGACGACTAAAGCCTGTTTTGCTCTTTTGACACCAGAGAGAGATTTTATTGTTGTGAATGGTAAAAAATACTTCTTTGAAGATACTTACTCAGATATACCACCAACAGGTTTTGTTGACTTATTTAATACTTTAAGGACGGATGTAACATGTGCTGCAACTAGAGCAGGTTTCATTATGTTTGGATGTCCGACTGAGTTTACTATAAACGATATGAGCTATAATACAAAACTTATATCTGGTTTTTACTACCAACAGTTTCCTATAACAGGAAAAGGTGTCATACAAGGAATGTCTGTTCCATTGACTTTAAGCACACCAATTTTATATATTGTTTCAAACTTAGGTTCAAAGTGCTATTCGAATATCGACAGAAACTACTATGACCAAAAGATACTCATGCGTATAAACAACACTTTCTCTGCTGGTTTGCCTATTGTTCATTCGAATGCAGAGTTTTCAGCTTTAGTAAACTCAAACACTTTAGCAAACATAACGTTGACATTAGTCGACGCAAACTTTGTTCCTGTAAAACTTTTATGTCCTATGTATTTGTCAATGACGGCAGAAAGTTTCGAATTGGAAGATGCAACTGGTGAAAGTATTGTACTACAAGAACAACTTCAACAACAAATAGCTCAAGAACAACAAATGCAACAAATGCAACAAATGCAACAACAAAGTCAAGAATAAAAAAAAATATTTTTTTTATTTTTATAAAAATGTACAGAATAGACGTTTCAGATTTTTATGACTTCCAAGCATTCAGAAATATGTGTCCATTTAGAGACTATAACAAAGCAGTCGAGAATTTGAAACGTTTAGTCATTTATGTTGACTCTGCCCCAGAATGTTATGTCATGAAAGAATGGGATGTTGTCTTTAACAAACCAAGAGCAACAATAGTGTCTGAACAAGAATGTAGACAGAAACTTAAGAAAATAAAAGTTGTACAAGTTGGCATGAAGATGTTAGATGCTTGGGATATCTTATTGTCAAAGTTAGAAGATTTTTCAGTTCGAGGTATAAAGTTCTATACACCTTCTCCAAACTTCTATTCTATCTTCACTGGATATAAATACGAACAAGTAGAATGGAAAGAAAATGTTATAGAAGCTTGGTTAGACCATGTCAAAGAAATTATATGCAATGGAAACGAAAAGGTTTATGAGTATATCTTATGTTGGTTTGCAAACATCTTACAATATCCAAGTGCTAAAAATGAAACTGCTCTCATTATAATTGGAAAACAAGGAACTGGTAAGAACACTTTCTTTACAGATATTTTGTGCAAACTGTTAGAGGGCTATTCGAACCCTAATATGACAAACTTAGAAAACATCTGCGGTAAATTTAACTCTTCAATAGAGAATATGAAACTTATAGTATGTAACGAACTTCAAAGTATAGATACAACAAAAGTTTTGAACTCGGATGCTTTGAAGAGTCTTATAACAGACAAAGTTGGAGTTGTTGAAAGAAAATATAAAGACCAAAGAGTTTGTGAAAATGTTGCAAATTTCATTATGGTTTCAAACAACGCCGTTCCGATGAAGTTAGAAAGTTCTGACAGAAGATATGTAGTTGTCAGAACGTCAGATTCTCATATGCAAGATACAGAATATTTTGACGACTTAGCAGAAACTTTGACACCTAACTTTTACAACCACTTGTTCTCATATTTTATGACATTAGATATTTCTAAGTTCAATCCAAGACAAATTCCATATACCGAAGAGAGACAAACATTGTTAGAAGCAAACAAGAGTGTATATGAACTGTTTATAGATGAGACTAACTTTGAGTGTTTAGATGAAAGGTCATTGTACGATTCATATAAACAGTATTGTCAAGAGTATGGTTATATGGCAGCGTCTAAACGAACATTCTTGGCAAATGTCAAAAATCTTTTAGACATACAGAACGGCGTATATACAAAGAAAAATTTTTCTGAGTAAATTTTAAAAAAATATTTTTTTATCCGATAGAAAAGATGACGAAATTCATCTCAGTAAATAAGTACATGACAGAAGTCAAAGAAGAACTAGACCCATTCGCTTATTTGAATGTTTACTTCTACCATTTTGAAAAGTCTTCATTCAGCAAAGTTTGGAACATCGAACCAGTTAAGTTTGCTGTCGTGACTAAAAATGGTGCGAAATTTGAAGACTTAGACATAGAAGGTTTGTTAGCAGTCAAAGAAAATTTTGACAGAAGGTTCTCAAACCTTAAAGAAGGCAAAGCATACAAACTTGTTATACCTTATGAACCAAAGAAAGCAGACGACTATGAATATTATGAGTCTAAGATAGTTGAAGTTCAAGGTAAATTAGGTAAAAAGATTTTAGAGTCTAAGCCAGTGTTTGCTCCTAAAGAGGAAGAGAACATTGACATTGACCCAGAAATGTTCTAAAAATAAAATTTTATTTTTACATGTCATATCTCACCTTCTCTGGAACTGGCTCTGGTTCAGGTTCTTTTTTCTCTTCTTCTACTTTCTTTTCTTTCTTTTCTCTCTTCTTCTTCTTCTTCTCTGGTGGAGTTATGTCAAATTTCTCAGAACCATATTTATGTAAAAGTTCTTTGTCCTTTAATAGCTCTTCTATTCTGTTTTCTATTTCATCTTCAAGAACAGCGCATGTGCCTTCTTTGCATTCTAAGAACTTTTGTTGGACTTCATCTTTCCAATCGGCGTCATCTCTGTCAACAAGTCTGTCATTGACAAATTTTAAGACTTCTCTGCTTAATGTTTTATGGTTCTTGTCATATTCCCAGAAACAGAACTTTAGAACAAATTCACCTTTCTTGTTTACACTATGTAAGATTTTATGGTCGACAGATGTTTTGCTGTCGAAAAGCTTGTCTCGAATATAGATAGCGAAATCGCTAGACATTTTCAAAAAGATAAAAATTTTAATTTTTCTAAAAATATGTTAGAAAAAAAGTTTGCTGACATTGACAAGAAATTTGAGAATGTTTTAAATAAGAACAAGAGAAAGTTAGAAAATGCTCAGATAAAGCCTATACATGACAAGTTCTTATTTGCTCAGAATGGTATAACAGGTCTAATCGCACCACCTGGGTCGGGCAAGACTTTCACTTATCTTAAAATGGCTGCACAACAACAAGAACTAGATGAGAAGAACCCATTCTATGAGTTAGTAGTCATTTGTAGTACTTCTGGTCAATTTGACCAAACCGTCAATTCGTTCAAAGATATTATAAAAAAGTCAAAACTAGTATGTATAAAAGACTCTGAGTTGTTAGATTGGATAAAGAAGTACCAAAGAAGAGTTTTGAAGTACAATGCTATAAATGAGTATGTCAATTCGAAGTTTAAAGACCCAAATGAGGAAATGCAGAGAATATTAGAGAAGAAACACTTCAGAAACAAACAGAAAGAGATAGAATACATTTCGAAGAAATTGCAATCTTACGATTGGAAGACTTACCCTCACAGATGTCTTCTTATCTTAGATGACTTTGCTTCTCATCCTTTGTTAAAGAATAGAGAACAAGACATGTGTCGAATTCTTAAGAAGCTCAGACACTTTAACATTTCAGTTGTCATTTGTGTACAGACAGCAAAGAGTTTAAGTAAGGATGTTAAAAGAATACTTACTGATATCATACTTTTCCCTGGATTGTCCGAAGACGATTTCATGGAACTTATGAAAGAGTCCATGGCAGGTAAGTTTGACAGACATGAACTATGGGAGAAGTACAAAGTCATACAAGACCCTCATACTTCTTTCAGAATTCATATCTACGCAAACAAAGTTCAAATTGTAAAAAGTCAAGCTTGAAAAATGTAAGTGTTTAGTCTTAGTCTGTTGTGGTGCTGGGGCTGTCGGTTCTTCTGGCTTTGGAATGGCTCGGTTGGTGGAACGTCAGTCATCCGTTTGTGTCCTGTCGGAAGGAAGAACTTTTCCAGTTGGAAGGAAGAACTCGGAATGTCGGAAGGAAGGACTCGGAATGTCGGAAGGAAAAACTCGGAATGTCGGAAGGAAAAACTTTTTCTGTCGGAAGGAAAAACTTTTTCTGAAGTTCGACCAAAAAGTTCTCAATTTTCGAAAATTTGAATGGTTTACGGACGAACAACAGGAAATTTTTTTCCAGTTGTCAGGAAATTTTTTTCTTGTTGGAAGGAAGGACTCGGAATGTTGGAAGGAAGGACTTGGAATGTTGGAAGGAAGGACTTGGAATGTTGGAAGGAAGGACTTGGAATGTCGGATGGAAGGACTCGGAATGTCGGATGGAAGGACTCGGAATACCAGAAGGATTTGACAAGACAATTTACCTTATAGAGCTACCTGAGCCATCTGAAGTCAAGCGTAAAAATAAACGCTTTACATGTATTTTTCAGCAACTTCGTCAAATAATTTTATAGCACTATCTATCTCATCTACTTCAAACGTTTCTTTACCTTTTATGGGAGCACCATACATTTTCTCAAACTTTTCAAGTAGTTCAGTTTCAGCAGCTCTCATATCGTTAACGAACACAACCTTAACTCTATTGACTATACTGTCATATCTTTTAGTTATATTATATGTTCTTCCTATCTTATATCTCTTTGTATTGAAGTCCTTCGGTTTCTGAACGATGTAAAGTAAGCCTTCACTGCAACGTTCAGTATCGAATGAACCATATGTTATGAAGTTATATCCAACAACTGGGTCAATCCATAACAAAACTATTGGTATAAGACTTTTGTCTATAAGATATGCTGTAGTTCCATAGAATCTTACCGATATCAAAAGCTCAGGATTTCTTGTCAAAATTTTCTGACTAGAAGCATTTCTAACCCAGTCCTTTGCTCTCTTTCCAGATGGAGATATAATGTCTGACAAAGAATATTTCTTGTATTTCTTTGAGTATCTTACGTTTAAATCACCAATTCTAACCACTTTGGTGTCATTGTCTATCTTTTTAACTGTTTCAAACTCAGTGTTTGTCATTTTCTGTTTCTTACATACAAAATAAAAAAAATATTTTATAAAAAACTAACTTTTATTTTCTATCTTAAGGAAACTCATGAAATTTGTGCTGAATTCAGCAAAAATATATTTTAGGGTAGATGGTTAGATCTAACCTGTTTTCTAACACGTTTTCTACCCCAGTTATTTTATAAGCGTTTTACATGGTATATGTTGCGATGGTTCATGACTCTAAACAGTTTTGTAGCTTCTATTTCTTCTTTTAGTACATCGAATGTTTTAACAATGCCGAAAGTTTCTTTATATTTCTTCTTGACGTCAGATAGAAGGAAATCTTCTGCTGTTGGATAGTTTTTGTCAAGACTTCATTGTAAATGACCAAAAATATATTTTATGTTAGCATGTTAGATCTAACATGTTTTCTAACACGTTTTCTCACATGGTCTAAAACATACAAAACTCATGAAATTTCAAGACTTCTTCGTAAATGTTTTGTCAAGACTTCTTCGTAATGAGCGTAAATCAGACAAAAATATATTTTATGTTAGCATGTTAGATCTAACATGTTTTCTAACACGTTTTCTAACATGGTCTAAAACATACAAAACTCATGAAATTTCAAGACTTCTTCGTACATGTTTTGTCATGATTTCATCGTATATGTTTTGTCAAGACTTCTTCGTACATGTTTTGTCAAGACTTCTTCGTACATGTTTTGTCAAGACTTCTTCGTATATGTTTTGTCAAGACTTCTTCGTAATGAGCGTAAATGACCAAAAAATAATGTTTATGTTAGAATGTTAGATCTAACATGTTTTCTAACATGTTTTCTAACATAACTATTTACAAGCGTTTTACATGGTATATGTTGCGATGGTTCATGACTCTAAACAATTTCGTAGCTTCTATTTCTTCTGTCAGTATGTCAAAAGTTTTAACGATACCGAAAGTTTCTTTATACTTCTTCTTGACGTCAGATAGAAGGAAATCTTCTGCTGTTGGATAGTTTTTGTTCAGAAATGTCAACATGTTCATTTTATCTTCTGCTGGTTTTTCTGCTTCTTTCTTTAAATCTGCATAGTCGTTTCTCATTCTTTCTATCTCTTTGACGGAGTAGTTATATTTCCTCATTGCTGCTTTACATTTTGAACATTGCGGGTTCATTTTTGCGTTATATTCTGAAACCTTACCTGCTAAAACAACCAAGGCGTCAATGGTTTTCTTTAACTCAAAAGTTGCTGGTTTTATCTGTTCAGTCCATACTTTACCTCTTCTATCTTTATCTCTTATCTGCCATACACATTCAGCAACTAACGAAACAAAGTTGTCGTAGGTCTTAAACTCCCCAGATTTATATATGTCAGAGATGTTCTTATATACCATGTCGCAATCTTTGTCCATAACCTTATGGTTGCAATGAAAACCAAGGAATTCATAATTTACCTTTCGTATGAACTTCTTTATTTCTACTGAGTCAGTCAGTCCGACTTCTATTTCATCGAATTCTGGAATAGTGAGTTTTTGTTGTTGGATTTCAGGAAGTTTGGGTAAATGGTCAATAATGTCCTGCATTTCATAAAGATACTGTTCATTTGTTTCATCTTTCGCACTACAGTCTAAATTACTTGTTAAAAGTTCTTGCTTTATCTTCTGGATTTTTGTTTCGAAAGTATATGAAGAAGGAATGAAGCTTTTCATCTCTACTAACATAGATGTTGGATTCATGACTAAAGAGTTTGGTGAAGTTGTTGCTAACATGTTCTTACAATAAAAATAAAAAATATTTTTTTAAAAAAACTAAAATATATTTTTGCCGAATTCAAGAGTTTTGGTTGAAAAAACAGGTGGAGCCAAAAGTGGCTCGACCTCAAAACAAGCATTTTGTGAAGAATATACCAACCCGCGGAAAACCGCGGGTTGCTTTTTATACAAAATTCAACGGGTGAAAGAATACGATGAAGAAGTCATGACAAAACATTTACGATGAAGTCATGACAAAACATGTACGTTCATGTTTGACAAAACATGTACGAAGAAGTCATGAAAATTCAAGAGTTTTAGACCATGTTAGAAAACATGTTAGAAAAGGTGTTAGATCTAACATTCTAACATAAATTATATTTTTGGTGTAAATTTCATGAAATTTCATGAGTTTTCTACGATGTTAGAAAACAGGTTAGAAAAGAGGTTAGATCTAACCATCTACCCTAAAATATATTTTTGTCGAAAAAAATGGTTCATTTACTCACAATATTTTTTTACAAAACGACCCCAAACTTTTAACTTCTTTTCTGCAGCTTCTAATGAAATTTTAGCGAGTTCATATTCTCTAAATTCTCTCTTTAAATCTTCTTGTTCCCATTGGTCTAGTTCGTATGGAGAATCTCTATAACCAGAACATATCTCACGTTCATGTTCTATTTGTTTTTCATGCATTTTTCTAACTTCTTCTTCGAACAAAGGTTTTGCATTCTCTACTGTATCTTCAAGTTCTTCTTCATCTAACTTCTCATGAACTTTCTTGTCTATGGAGTCCAGAATTTTTCCAACTGCTATGCAATATTTTGGAGAAGCCCACATTGCTATATAGTTTACGAGTCTTGGGTCTACATACATTCCTCTAACCTGTTTGATTTCATCCGGAATTCCTGCATTAACATTGTATAAAAAGCAACCCGCGGAATTCCGCGGGGTGGTATATTCTTCACAAAATGCTTGTTTTGAGGTCGAGCCACTTTTGGCTCCACCTGTTTTTTCAACCAAAAACTCATTTTTGTCGAATTCAGCACAAAATTCATGAAAATTCAAGAGTTTTAGACCATGTTAGAAAACGTGTTAGAAAACGTGTTAGATCTAACATGCTAACATAAACATTATTTTTCAATACTTTTTCAGCACTTCTCCGTAGTTATATATGAAAGACAATTCGAGATAAAAGTCGTAGTACAATGGAACAATATGTTGCACACCATTTGTTGTGAACCAAACTTGAAAGTCAGAGAAACTGTTACTAGGTGGTTCGTAGAATTTAGAAGCAAAGTCATAAAAGTCCTTACCAATACAAAGAAAACTATTGTTGCTTGAACTGAAACTTGCATGACACATGACATTTTGAGGGTCAAACACATTTCTATAAACTGTCAAATCTGTTGGTGGGCGTATAAACCAGAACGGACCGTCAGGTGGTAATGGTTCGTTCTGGTTTAGTAACCGAAGAAATTGTGCCCAAGAACGTTTGTCTACTTGCCAAAATAAAAACTGTGTATCTCTTGGAGGGTTATTTTCAATCCTTTGAAATGAAACTGTGGAGTTCATCTTGTCATATTCTAGTTTCAGATAGTATGTTCCATTTAGTAAAGAATCGTATTTTTCTTGAAATTCCCAGTAGTATTTGTTTATTTGAGTTTGAAAGTCATTTAGAGTCTTCTCAAGACTTTCGTCTGAACGAACTGTAAAGATTCTCATTTCGTCAAATTTGTCTAGTAGACCGTCAGAACCTCTATACTGACCATGAAAATATACCGCAAACATAAACGCGTTAGTTCTTTTTGAAAACAAAACTCTTCTAAATCCTATTGCCTTTGCATCTGAAGGACTTTGAAGCCAACGAATTGGAAAGTCAAAGCGGTAGGAGCCGGATGAAATTTCTTCATCTGATATAGTCCTACCAGCGTTTGTGAAGATATAGTCTAACGGTTTTGTATCTGCTACTTTTGTTCTTTGTTTTTCAACCTGAAACATTTAATATATGTAAAAATATTTTTTTTTAAAAAAAATGTTTTAAAATGGTATGCCATTTCATATTTCTCATCTAACAAACATGTTGTCTGACTGCTTGAGGGTTAGGTTGGTACCATTCGAACTTCACGCTTACAATTCCTTCAATTGCATTCAAAATGTCTGAGTCGGAGTCAACCATTTGTTCTCTCTTTGTAGTCTTGAAAGCGTCAAGAAGCATTGCAGCTGTTGTGACATTGCCATGTGCATAGTAAATATGACCATCCAAATCTGTTACGGTTAGTCTGAGATTGTGTCCTTTCTTATTTCCGTCTTGTATGGCAGCAAGTACACCCATGAAGCCTTCTTTGTTCTTTCCTTCGTCAAAGTTTACTGTAAAGGTTCGACCAGATGTAATTTGACTTCTAACTTCACGATACTTTTCATATGCATATCTTGTTCTTTCCATGGGAGCATGTGCGTCTTCACCTTTTCCTTTTTTCCTTCTCAAAGGATGCAATTGTTCGTCATGTTTCCAGTAGAATCTGGCAAAGCCGTCGTGTCCTTCAACTTGAGGTTCACTAACATTGAAAGGCATATCCATAAGACGCTCTTCTTCTAACCTCTCTAACCTGTTTGGATAATTTGTGCGTGCTGTTTCCAAGTCCATTTCATAGGTCAGACCAGACAATTTGTCATAGACTTTTATGGGTCTTCCCTTCCTATATTTAAAATTCTTCGAAACTCTCCAACCATATCTTTGTAACTCTGCTTTTATTCTAGCAGACTTTCTATCCATTCTATATGGGGGCATTTTTATAAAAATAAAAAAATGTTTTTTTTTCTTTACTTAACATAACCACCAGCTACCATAAGTCTTTGACGCCAACCCATACCAGCTAATGAAGGTTGACTTGGTTTAGTTTGGAAACTAAACTTTGGTTTTGGTTTATCTTCAGTTTTTGGCTCACCTTCTTCTATCGGTTTTTCGTCACTTTTCGGTTCCTCTGACTTTACCTCACTTGCAGGTATGGTTGTGTCGTCAACATCTTCATAAATATCATATGCCATTTGTTTTTGTTTTCCTTTCAACTTTTTGTGTTTGTTGTAAAGTTTAGAATATTTTGACTCTAAGTCAATGAGAT